ATTGTTTCAGTAGCAATGGCTCAGGACAAATTTAATGCAAAGGCAGAGACAACTGACCTGAGCATGCTTTTAAAAAAAAATTCAGTACATGGAAAAAATAGCACTACCAACCTTGCAAGTAAATTGGCATGTTGCAGCAGAGACTTTAGGCTTTAACTGCTGAAGGACAGCAGCAGCCCAACTTGTTGATATCCAAATGACCGGATTCCAGATAAACTGAAAAAGCTGACTGTGAGGAAGTCTTTAACATCTTAAAGGATCTTAATCCATTTTATGAAAATTCAGATGCAGATCTTGGCAGGTAACAAGAATAGTACATCAATTCGCAAGTGACGTATCCGTTCATCCAGGTCATCACAGCACTTTAGAACAATGGTATTGCAGGGGACCTTGAAAGTCTCCTCATCCATCCCATAGTCAAGACATGATGAGCCACCCCAAGTCATTTCTGACATGTTTGCTCAGATCATTCTTAAAGATCTCCACTATTGGCAAGACTGCCAGCTTCCCACAGAAATTACTCCAAAGGCCTCACTGCTTTTATCATCATAAAGTTATTCCTGACACCTAACCCCAGTCTTCATTGCTGCACTTTAAATCCATTCATTCTCAACCTATGGCTGGCTTATCAAACTCAAGCACTGAATACTACACCCATTCAAATCCAAAAAGGAACCTTGCCTGAGTGAAAAAAAGGAGCAGTTTGGATCCAATGTCATCAAAATATCTGCCAGATGGCCTGCAAGTTTTTGATACTCAAACAGAATCTCCAAAACAGCCATGGACCTTCACATGGGTCAGATTTCACCCAAATGAAACCATATGTGGGGTGAAGATCAAACCATGGTCATATGACTGAGAGCAGTAAGCTGAGCCAAAGTACAGCAAAATGTTTAGATGATAAAAATCTTATTGTGATAATAAAATAGGGTAACTGTTACTCGACCTCATTAAAATTCTTCTTCCAGAAAGGAATTCACCAGTGGAAAAATAATACATCTGCAATACTGAATCAGACCAGAGTTCTAGGAACAAAATGACCTTAGTTGTGGTAGGAGATTGCCCCATTACTGGGACAAACCTTAAAACTTCACTTTACAAAATCTGACATGCAAGCACAGCTTTACTCAAGCAAGCAGTCCTGATGTTAGACTACTTGCAGAAGTGAAGTTGCACCTAATGCTCACAGTGTAGTGACAATGTTCATCCTGTGTCCATCAAAATCCATGCCACACCTCTCACTGACTTGAGTCATGATCATAATATGTGATGGCATTATAGTATTGCCTTAATACAGTGATCCCAGTGTTGATGCACAGAAATGCATGGCTCCCTAACAGTTTTCCCGAGTAGTAAAAAATATCCTGCTGCACAACAATAATGTTTACACTGCATTAATTTGGACCACTCTCAGAACTGTGATATGATAATTTTCTTAATTGGATAGTCTATGCTATGCACCACAAAAAAACCCAAAACAGAACAAAAACCACAAACAAAACCCCAAACAAAAAATAAACGAACAAAAAACCAACCAGACATAATATACTTAATTCATAGCCATTTCTTGTGTTATTTACATGTGTAATAAGAGTATATTTTCTAAAACAAAAAAATATAGAGCAAAACATTTTTTTCATGCTATGCAGGTCTTATACTAGGCTTGTATTACTTTACAGGTAATACAAATCTAATATACAAAAGTCTACAGCTTTTTGCAGATAACACAGTGTGACTGCTAGAGAATTCCAGTGAATATGTTAACAAGACAGAAATAAAATATAACCAGAAGCTCAAATAATTTATATCCAGAACCACACTTAAAAGTGATATGTCTTGGAAGTAGCTGCCATCCACAATCCCTATGAGAAACAAAATTTGTAATTCCACTCACTGGAAAAGATGGACTATGATTAGCATGTGAAATAACATATTAGCCCATGTTAAAATAACATGAAATCTACACAATCTACAGAAGCTGAAGAGTAAGCCCAGCCTTACTGTCACAGTGATAAGCCCTGCTGAGGCTGGAAGATGCCAAAACTCCTCATGTCGTATTTTTTCCAGAAATGGCATGGATTTGGCACAACTAACTAGATCATGACCCCAGTCAAGCTCCTCTGAAGTCTGTGTGGTCAGTGCAACTGGGAAAAAGAATGAGCTACAGCCTAGAAATGTAGTAAAGAGCTGCTTCTCAGACTTGTTGGATATTCATCGCCAATCATAACACTGAAACATTGTCATCTGTATTGTTGCATTTTTTTATTTTGTACATGTATATGAAATTTCTTCAAAATAGATCTATAACTCATAACTGTACTTTGAAAAAAACCTCATTTAAATCTATATATCTATACATATAAGGATGTATGTAACTAAACACAACTGCATAGATATACACACTGCATGCATGAATATTTACCAAATTTCATGCATGTTTGTGCATATATATGTATGTGCATGAGTGTATACACCTACAGATGCATGTACACTTTGATTCTAACTAGCAGCATGAAAAACAGGGAGGTATAGTTCACCTTCATATATATAAAAATTTCAGTTTCACATATCAATCTACATGGTTCTCTCTCCTAGGAACTTAGAAATCAACAGCTAGTTTCTCAAGAGATAGAAATTAGACATCAAAAGGTAATAAAATAATGGTTCCACCAACCAGTTCTAAAGTTGGATAGGTGGTTAACTTCAAGTTTCAGCTATCCCAGATCATCTCTAAATCATTCATTCAATGAAAATTAGTGTACTCAATACAAGCTTTCCTACAAGAGAAACTGTAATCCTCTGCAACCACTGTGCTGCAATTATTTATCACTTACTCTACTGCATATCCCGGTAACAGATTTTTCACAGGACAAACCTTTTTATGCACTTTACAAAGGTCCCACACTTGGATCAGTGATGGTCTCCTTCCCTACCTGCAGCCTAGTCAATAGACTTTTCCAGGTCTGAACCAGTTCCTGAAAAACTGAAAAGGCAGCACCTTTAGAGGCTCATAACTATGACTGAAATAAGAACCCCTGGCTCTTTGTGATCAAAGATGGAAAAAATACTGTGACAGAGAGAAATTTTGGCAGAGAGAATAAAAAGGCACAAAAGAACTTATAGCATAAAATATAGCATCACACACAGGAAGTTTAAGCTGAGCAAGAGAGATCAGAAGGATTGCAAAATAAAAGAATAATTTCACTGTAAGAGAAAAAATTCTGAGCTTGAAAACAGATTTGCAGCCCTGACCAGGGTAAACAATTTCCCCACTGAAATGCCATGAATTTAGACTACATGTGGGTTTTACCCTCTCTACTCCTAGTGACTGCCCAGCTGGAAAATCCTGTGCTGCTGCATCTCTGTAGAAAAGCTCTAACACCATTACTGCAGCTCTCTGCCTTGTCAACAGTAACAGAGCACAGCTCTCACAAAGGACTTAAGAGCAGCTGTGATGCTGATGAAGAACCAGCTTCATACTGGAAGATTCAGGAATCTATGAACAGCAGCATCAGATAAACACCAGACAGATCTACTCCCAGGAGAGACTGAAAAATGAAAGCTGAAGGAAGGCAGAAGAATAGAACTAGTCTTTTCCTTCTTTCTGCTTTCACCTCACCTTCCCACCCCATATCAACAATCTTTACCACATCAAATGGTCCTCTCCCTTATTCTCCTCTCACTTTTTCTTCACACCAAGTGTCTACTCACACCTGAGGGAAAGAAAATTCAAAATGCATCTCTCATGAATGCCACAGAGAGAGCCAAAACAAAGAGGCACAAGACTGACTGACTGATCTGTGGAGGGGAAGGGGGGATAGTTTTGCCACAAAGTGATCTGAAAATAGGAAAAAGACTAAAGGACAAATGTTCACAGGAGAAAGTCAGTTCAGCAGACAGGATTTAATTTGTAATGATACCAGAACTAAAGTGAATAAGATCCAACATGCAATCTACAAAATGATGCAGAATTGAAGAACAATATTAAAACAGTGCAGAAGGATGACTTTTTGTATAGTGCGAACAAAAAGCACTGCAAAAAGCTCTACAAAAGCAGTTCCTACCACAGCAAATCCTAAAGTACTTCTAGTTTTGACCTTCCATTTTCAGCACCACAATTTTTTCACCACACATTTTTCTGCTCTTACTTCAAAACTCTGAAACTAGAAGAATTCCCTCATAGAAATGTGATCACTGTAAACTAGGTATTTTATTTAAGAAACATTTCTGTTTATGTAAGTCCTGGCCAGGACTGCTCTACAACTCTCAAGATCAGGCTTTGTCCACTCTTTTGCTTAGCAACAGTGCATCCTCCACACGGGATCTAAACAAGCTAGGCCAGCTTGTCTGGCAGTGTGTCCAGTTTTACTGTTATAAAATAACTGTGTGCTGCTCCAAATACATTTTTCTAGCTTTTTTTAACAGTATTGAAGCTATGACTGGTTTAGTCTACACTACAGCTAAATAAAACACCTTCACTTACTTTCAGAAATAGCACACTCCCTACGTGTAATCAGTAGGGCAGGACAACAGCAACAGTACTCCAGCTCCAACCAAGCTCCCTCCTAAGATGGGGAAGAACACACAAACCATTACACTCCTTTCATCAAAACTGTACTCTTTCTCTGCTTTCTCTGGCACGGTGGTCCTGCATTTCAAATGCAACTCTGAAATGACTTGAAATGACCTTTTTCGGTTCCTTAGCCAACAACAACGCAGCACAAGAGGAAGGCAGTGGGCTGATTCTCTCCTAGGGTGACCAGATGTTGCACTACTGACAGAAATGCCATCTTTTTCCAGAAAGCCAGGGTACTTCCCATCTGTGTGCCCCAAGCAAGCACTGCTGCTGGGGCAGCAAACACTGCCAAGGCATGTCTGGCACCCCATGCTTTTAGTAACCATCAGCCAAGGAGACCAGGTCCAGACACAGGAGCTTGTGGTAGGCAGGCCATGATCAGGGAATTTGTTTCAATTCAAGATAGAAGGAGAAGGAAGGGAGAAAAGAACGAATTATCAGATGCTGGCTTCTGCTTTTTTTCCAGTAAATCCCAGGGAGTTCACACCCAGTGGTTTGATTCACCCTATGATGGAGTCAGGTCCCAGAGGTCAGATCAAGTCATTTCAGTGCAGGACATTCGGCATCTCTGTTGCCCCTGGCAGCCACCACTGGCAGAAATGCCATGACTATAACCAAAGCCAAGCAGCTCACACTGAGGGTGCAGGGGAGGTTGTTCTCACAGTTGCTGCGGAGCAAATGTGCCAGGGCCACGCCATTTCGAGCCATGCTACAGCAAGTGCGGTGGCCAAGACAGGTCTCCCCAGGTCTTCATCCCTTCAGCTGAAGGCAGGACACTGCCAGGGCCAACAGGAGCCTCAGCCTCCAGAGAGACTGGGCCAGGGGCAGAGGAGGAGGAGGAGGAAAGCATCTTTGCAGGTGACAAGGCCACGTGCATGCCAGAGCCTTGGAGCCCCGGCTGCCCTACAAAGGCCTGGCCCAGCCTTCCCTTCAGAAGTACCCAGGACACATGACATGGCAATGGCAGCATCTCCCCAGGCACGTTCCCCAGGTCAGACCCTCCACAGAGATCGAAGTGTCACCGAGGGAAGGTCCGGCCACCCCAAGGCTCAGCCGGGGGTCGCCCCGCTGAGCAGGGGAGGCCGATGTACCAGCAGGCCGGCGGGGCAGAGGCGAGGGGTCCGGTTGGACAAAACACGCAGGCGCAGAGAGCCAGACTCTGTTGGAGCATTTTATTTCAAAGCTGTGGGTTGTTGGGTGGTGGGTTTTCCGTTTCCTCTCTCAATATTACTAAACAAGCCCAGAGACCAGCCGTTCTTGGTCCGTCAGGGGGGCAGCGCCACAGCCCCAGCCGTGCTGGGCTGCCCGCCGGCAGCAGCAGTGGCAGTGGGCTCCTCGGGGCGCTGCACCCAGCGGCCACATCGGCTGGCCTGTGTCCTGTCAGTGGGGTGGTGTGGACAGCACACCAGAGAGACAGAGAGAGGGAGTTACAGTCCAGTTGACTAGCTGGGAGAAACAGAGCACAGAAGGAGCTGGGCAAGGAAGGAGAGGTGTTTCTATGAAGGAGAGAAAAAGTAAAGTAGTTACACTCAAAAGTGGAGAGGAAGAGAGCCGGTAGCTCAAGGCTGGTTGGGAGGTTTGCTGGTCAGCAGGGCACCGGGGAAAGGGGGCAGGGAGGGGAAGGTTACCTTCAGCCTCGATGGAGGAGAGGAGGGCTGCTGCACACAGAGCAGCGACTGCGGAGCACAGTGCTGTCTTCATTTCTGCTCTTTCAGATCACAACAACATGAATGAATCTGCAGTGATGGAGAAGGGGGGAAGGGGGAGAAAGGAGAAGGAAATGATACGTGTGGATTAAAGGACTGCGTGGGTGTATTCATGAAACATAAAAACCACGAACCACGGATTCCACTTTGTTCCCTTATCCCCAGCCCCCACCCACGGGACCAGGTTGAAAACTCTAGACTTGAAAGCTGTCCAAGACGACAAAAGATCTGTATGACTAACTGGAGAGTCTCATCTTGCAATAATGTGCCTTTTGTTGCTGAAGTCTTTCCAACCACAGTAAGTACTTGAAGCTTTAACCTAGTTAGGGTTAATTTGATCAGGGAAGCACAGTGAAGACCTGTGCCTCCGCACAGACAGGAGCCAAAAGGGAGCTCCATGACTTCATCGCTGAATGTGATGATAGCTAATTCAGAGGTCATTCCTGCCTTGGATCAACTAAATGTCTCTTTCAGCTGGGGATTTTATTCGGCTCCTTTTTCATAACTGTTGAACCACTTAGTTAGCTTTGTTTTAGTGGTCTCAAGGCAGTTTGGAAACTGTAATAAAATTTTTTTTTGAGGGGTTCTGCCTACAAATGTACTATTCTTCATTTCTTGAAGGTCTGAAATAGGTTATACAGAAGTGTGTGTGACACACAACTGAAATCCGACACGTCTGTCTAGCCATGATGTTTCAACATCTGATAATTCATTTACATGTCCTTAGAGAAAACAGATTTAAAATATACTATTAAAAGCCGACAGACAAAAGAGTCTCACAATCACTGTAGGTTGTCTGGCAAAAAAGGTGGGATTAGGCCAAGTTAGCGGTTCTTAATTGCAAGCAGCTTCATAACTATATGCTCTGTGCCATGTAAAATTACTCCCAATTACTCCAGCCAAACTTCCAAATTATTTCCTTGTCTAAGTAAAGGCTAATATGAACAGTCCACATCACTTACAAATATAAGTGTTTCTAAAGTTTGGGATTTTCTATCTTGGGAAGTAGGAGAGGGGCAATTTGTCTGAATAAAGTCATAAATGCATCATATATCATAATTAGGCTGGAGGAAAGAGAATTCCAAAAGCAATTAGGCAACAGATTTTCTCGGGAAGATGCCAAGAGCAAAACAAAAGAAAAATACATAAATCATTCATCTACAGAAACAACTGAAAGGGAAAATAATATTCTTCTACCATCTAGAGAACTACCCAGCAAGGCACACTTATTGGGTGGACGCTGTGGAAATCCAGGAATTTCCTAGTTACTGACACTGAGCTTAACAGGCTTCTTTTGAGCAGCTGTATATACTTGCCTTAGCCAAATGCCTTCACTGCACATGAAAATATCAAGAGCTCGAAGAAAACCTAAGCAATGGTTTCAGTCCAATGGCAGTTCCAGAGGGTAAACAGAAGAGTAATATTACCATAATGATTCCCTAACACAAGAAAGGCGAGCGTTAGTATTAAATTGCCCTGAAAGCTCAAAAATCATATCACAGCTCTGCATGGGAAACGGCTGTCCCTGGGAAGATATACAGCATTGTGCAGTGAGTTTAATGATCGCCTAAACTTCACGCAAAAGGACGTTTTGTCCTGGAAGTCTTGTGCAGGCTTTGAGTGCCATCTCTTGATCCTTCTGAAGAGCAACAGAAATTAATCATCTCACAAAGGCATCTAGGAGTTCACTACTGCTGCAGGTCTACCGTTTTTGTTTCATGAAATACATCATCTCAGCCAAAGCATTCATTTGTCCACCTAGGAACACTCTGTTTCCTTCTTGCAAATTTAGGAATGTGAAACAAAGCCTGGAGGTGGCAGAGGAAAGGTCCTCTCACTGGCTCAGTTGTGACACAACAGACTTTGTGTCAGAACTAAAGGTTTTCTCATTGACCTTTAGAGACCGCTTAAAAAAAAAAAAAAAAA